CCCCCCCCCCCAGCGCGGTCTTCTCTTCTCTGCACTGAGTAACCCCAGGTCTTTCACCCTTTCCTTGTAAATCTTGCCTCCCAGACCTCTAACCACTTCTGTGTCTCTGTGCTGGACTCACTCCAATCTGTCCACATCCTACCTGAAGTGTGGGACCCAAAACTGAACACAGTGCTCCAGGTGAGGTGGCACCAGTAGATAATATAGCACAGTTCACCTGAAGTCAGACTAGCATATTGTGATGTAATTGAATATGTTTTTCTATATGCTAAGGGGCCACATTAAGATGGAACAGATAATTCACATTCTGACATGTCCTACTTTTTAGACGTTTGCTTTTGCAAACTAAATTTGTCCAAAATCAATTGCCAAAAAGATTGATCACAGTCACCTGGGGGGCCTGCCCATTTATAGCCCCCAAGTCAGTCTCATCTCTGAATCCCTGAGAGAACAGATGGGTTTTGCAGGGTATCTGAAAGTTAGCATCTGTGCAGATTACAAACAGAGCACTAACCGTTTAGAAGGAAACTCACTTGTCCATCCTGCTCCATGCACGGAGTTTGCTAATGTATTGCATTATCTTCAGCCCTGATGTCTTAGTGCAGCGGTCAGCAACCTTTTCAGGTCACAGGGCACAATGATCCAGCTTGGGGCAGAGCAGGGCATGGACTAAGACTTTGTGGCTGCTGCTGCTTCTCCCCACAGCAGCCTGAGAAGGACAACTACTGTGACAGCCCCATATCCGTGGGCTGGACCAAATGGCTTTACAGGCTGTGGTTTGCCGACCCCTGTCTTAGTGCGATTATCTTCTTACATGATTTTTCTCTCTCATTAGTGATAGTGCATTGTAAGTACCTAGTACATATTCAGTACACAAGGTTTGCATTCGCATGTTACTATATGGGTTTATATATTGTTGCTACTTTAGTTGTATTTGTATGTTGCAGTGACATGTACTATTCAATGTGTCCATCCTGCGGGAGAAGTTTTCCTGCGTACTTCCCACGCAGGGTGGCCTGCAGGGTTCTCTGCTGCCAGCGTAACCTGTATTCCTTTGTGTGCAGGGGAGGCTGCTTCTGTCTGTGTTTTGTTTCTTACGGGCTTACGCAGCTTTCCTGTCATGAATGATATGTTAGTGAGCAGCTTTTTCTTGGGGCCTCTGCCAGCTGGGTTGTGCAATACACCTGGCCTGTCAGTCTTCATATATCAGCATGACCTCTTAATGTACCCGGACTACATGGGTCCTATTCTGCTGTTCAACACCAGTGTGCATGGTCACGCCTACTTTGTCTTTACAGACTCACAGAAGAACTATTAACAGCATAATAGCACACTACAGTATTATTCCAGGATAAACAGAATAGATTCCTGTTGCCTGTTTTAAACTTTCACTGGATACTGCATGCACACAGTAGAATTCACAGCCCTTTTGCATGTCACAGCTCCCTTGGCCTGTGCTGCCCTCAGTTGCACTAGTGTAAATCCACAGTAGTAATACCATTGGTTTAAATGGATTTTGTCTGGATTTGCGCTGAGGTCGGAATGCTGCTCGCTCTCTCTGGAGAGTGCGAGTTGCCATTGTAGAGCAGGAGTAGCTTTTAGAGTCAGCGCTATGCTGGGAGACACCCCACAGAGCCCCCTCTCTAAAGTGGAGGGGAATGCGGGGTGTTTTATCTGCCTTTGAAAGAACCACCCTCCCTGCTTAAATGTCTCTGGCAAAAATGACTTATTCCTGCAGCCCATCCAATTCAAAAGAGCAAAGAGTTGGTATATAACATACAATAGATTACAGTTCATTGCAGGTATGTTTAAAAGAATTTCCCATAAGGAGAGAGCTGCCTTCTAGAAATGCATCCTGACCCGTCCTCCCTCTAGCTAGAGAAACAAAACAGACTGCAACACCATCAGAAGCTACAGTTCTTCAGGAACTAAAGAAACCGGGTTGGAAGGGGACCCAGGAGAAGTCTGCCTAGTGGCACTGCCTGCCTCTTTGCATAGTCCAAACCTGATCTGGAGATAAGAGTTTGATAGAGGTCTGCTTTATATAACAAACATGTTTTGTAACAAGTGTCTGCACAACACAACCAGCCATTGTGAAGTGGCTGCTACTATGGCCTCTTCAGTTTCCCAGACTTTCCCCAGTGCTGACGTGCTGTTTCAATGCAGAAACCAGCGGGTCCTGCCCATGCTTCTGTAGGACCGTGCCCTCCCCTGCGCTGGGGCTGATCAGTGGGTCTGCAAGGACTGTCCTTGTGAGCCCTTAGCTGCCATAATCAGGGATCTCTGGTTCACCAGTGCTCTTGCTTTGGTGACACCGAGCCAGGGGTGGCCAAGCTGCAGCATGCTCACCACAAGTGGCACAGGTGTGGGGTACACTGCAAATCAGGGAGGGGACAGGTGGCACAGCAGCAGATAAAGCAGAGCAGCAGTAGGCATGGGAAGAGGATCAGAGTGGCAGTGTAGGGCTAATTTGTAGTGTGCCTGCTGCAAAGGTTGGCTTGGAGCGCTTCTGTTCCCTGTAGCTCCCAGAGCACCCAAAGTCCAGGGGAAGTGCCGCTAAATCTAGATGCGTCTTAGGCTGCCATTAGCACATGCATGCCATGGAGCAAGTAGCCTCAGCAGCTAGGGATATTACTTAACGTGTGCCACATGGAGCCCAGAATCACAGACAGGTTTGTGGAGGTGGACTTGCTCTCTCTGGTGTTGGCCTGCACATACTTCCTCACAGCTACAAAATGGACTCCACTGGAAAAGGCAGGAAGAAGTGTGGGCAGGGGGGTCCCTTCATTTATCTATGGGGAGCCCCACAAAGACAGTAAACAGATGTGGCTCAGGCAACCCACACAGCTACCTCCTGTTCGTACACTAGCAACTGGTGTCAAGGGAGGGCACAGCTGCTGCCTTGGCACACTGTCATTTGTGGCTGTTGCACCTGTAGTAGGTTCAGTACCAGGGGTCGCTCCCAGCTGGAGAATCATTTAGAAGGAAAGGCAGGGCCCAGCCCAAAACGTAAGAGCACTTGGAGTCGACCATATGCCTACACCTGATGCAGAGAATGCTCCAGCCCTGGCTTTTCCACAGCATTTCGTTTTGTATCCACATCATGGAGGGACACTTGGACTCTGCCTGCCCTTCCAACTAGTCCTGTCCTGCTAAGGGCAGCCACGCTGGGGTTTGCAAGTGGAGGGGGCATGAGTGTGCTGGGGAGGGGAGGGCTCCACCCAGGACAAGGGCAGCCGGCCAGGGGCCAGGCAGCAGGGTCCGGGCCCTGGGGAGCCGGGCAGGCTGAGGTGCGGGTGCTGTTCCTTGGCAGCTGGGAGGGAGCCTGGCTTCGGGAAGCAGGTGCTGCCCATCCCTGGTCTGAGCAGGAGCCCCTGCGAGCTGGTGTCTCCCTTGGACCCCCTGAGGGGCAGGAGGAAGCATGTCTGAAATCTCCTGGCTCTCCAGAAGAGCCTGACAACGCGAAGCTTAAAGGCAAGTGGGGGAGAAAAAGGCCCCAAGAGTCTCCCACAGGAGACCGTGGCTTCAGAGCAGGGCCCCGGCGGCCACGCGCACTTCCCAGGAGAGCCCCAGGGCCGCGGGCGGGCGGGCGCGGGCACTCGCCCAGGCCACGGGCTGGGAGGCAACTGCGGCCCAGCAGCACCCGGCGGCGGAGGGAGGGAGGGACGGACGGGCATCTCGGCGCTGCCCGCGGCGGCTCCGGGGCAACGCAGTCACCTGCTGGCTCGGCCCAGGGACGCTGGGCCGCTCCGCCGGGAGCTGCCGCCGGAGGCGCCGGG